TAAAAAAAAATTATTTTATATCATAAAACGAAAAAAAATTAAAAAGAATTCTCAATCAGAAAAAATTTATTTATAATATGAAGGAAAAAGAAATTTTAAAACAATTTTAGAAATATATATATATATAATAAATTAAACAAAAGAAAGATACAAAAATCAAATAAATAATATTTAGTTGAAATTAAAAAAAAATAAGTTTTATCGACGAAAGAATTAAAAAAATTATTAGTAATATAAATAAAACAAAAAAAAGAAAAAAAAAATATAAATAATGGAAGCAAACGGAAATGGAGAGGGATCTCTCCGTATTATGGAGAGGAGCTCACCAAATTTTTTTTTTATTTTTTTTAAATTTGTTTACATTTTTTTCGATTTAAATTTTTTTTAATTCTTTTATTTTTATGAAAAAAGTTAATAATTTTAATTTTAATTAATTAAATAATAATTATATATTCTCCATTTAATTTTCATAACTTTCTTCTATTTAAAATTTTTATTAAAATTTTAAAAAATTATTTTAAAAAAATCTTTTTCTTTATAAAAATTTTTTGTTCAATTTTAACTAAAAAAACTTTACAATGATTTTTTTTTTTTTTTGGCCTTTTTAACGTCAGAATAAAGTAGTATAACGTTTAAAAAAAAGAACAAAATGGCAAACAATAATCGAGCACGACTCTATAGAGAACAATGCCACAACAAGTAATAATATTTATATATTCTTCTTTTTATTTTCTTAATTATTTACTTTTTCCCCTAATTTTGCTTGAAACTGTTTGCTTCTTTCTTAAGTAAGTTGGAAGCAAAGATTAGATAATATTTAAGTGGAGGCAAGATATTTAACTAATAAAAATTAAATGATTTAACTAATTAAAGAACAAAAAAGAATTACAGACAAGAATTAAAAAGAAAGTTTTTATAAAGTTTTTTAATTAAATTGGAATAATTAAAATTAAAAATAAATATTATTTAATTAGAATTGAAAAAATTACATTTTATCATAATAAAAAAAGAATTTTAAATTGAACAAAAATTATTTATAATATAAAGAAAAAAGAAATTTCAAAAAATATTTCAAAAAATATATAATAAAAACAAAACAATGTAAACAAAAGAAAGTTACGAAAATTAAATAACAAATATATATAAAAATTATTTAATTAAAATTGAAAAAATAATGTTTTATCATAAGAAAAAGAATTAAAAAGAATTTTAATTAAAAAAGTATTTATTTGATGAGCTAAACAAACTACAAAAAATAAAAATGAAATGAGTCTCTATATTAATACAGAGAGATTCTCTTCATGCTATGGAGAGACACAATGGAGAGATTTCTCTTCATAACACTAAGAGTGTTATCCAAAACTCTTCGTGATACGGAGAAAAACTCTCCAATTTTTTTTAATTTGTTTTGTTTATCATATAATTTTTTTTTCGTTTTAAATTTCTTTTTAATTCTTTTCTCTTTATGATAAAACTTAATTTTTTCAATTTTAAGTAAATAATATTTATATATTCTTTATTTAATTTTCGTAACTTTCTTTTGTTTAATTTTTTTTTGTTCTTATTTTATTTTTTTAAAGTTTTTTTTAAAATATATTTTTCTTTGTAAAATATTTTTTGTTCAATTTTAATTAAAAAAATTTATAATAACTTTTTTGTTATTTTTGTCTGCAATTCCTTTTTAAGTCAAAATAAAGTAGTATAATGCTTAAAAAAAGAGGAAAAAATGGTAAACAGTGCAAAACCAGTTTGGGATTTGAAAAAAATTATCTATAATATGAAGAAAAAGAAATTTTTAAACAATTTAAAGAAAATATATAATAAAAACAAAACAAATTAAACAAAAGAAAGTTACGAAAATTTATAAAGAATATATAAATATTATTTAAATAAAATTGAAAAAATTAAGTTTTATCATAAAGAGAAAAGAACTAAAAAAATTTTAAATTGAATATTTTCGTTGTATATAAATTTTGGAGGATTAAATTCAAATATATGAAATTGGGGCAATTAAATAAAAATCTCAACCTCATTTAAGTGACAAAATGTTATACTGTGACTCAACTTGTGTTTGACGTCATTATTTTTATTTCTCTATTTTATTTTCAATCGCAAAATCGTCCATAAAATAATATTACACGTAAATAAAAACCGTTCATTAAATCGGTTGGATATTGAACAATAAAAAAAGATTCGATTAATTACACAATTTAATTATATTGAATATAGTTATCATCAAATACATCTTTTATATGTAAAATAACCACCCAAACTAAAATAATATTTGATATATAAATTATGAACTCCAATAATTTGGATTTTAAATCCATGCATCAAGGAACATTTATTATATCTCCAGAAAATATATTTCAATTATAGCAATGCAAAATTGAGGCTAACCAATTTTCCATCTTGATTATTTTAACATCTGAAAAAAAAATTTATATATAAAAGAAATTCGATCATTTTTCAAAATTTTTTTCTTATTGTTACTTTTTTCTCTCGATCAATTATTTTTTTAAATAATTTAATAAAAATTTTGACATCATTTAGAAAATTTCCTAATAAATTTTTAATTTTTTTTTAATACCAAAAGTGTGTCGTATATGAATATTACATTTCCATTTATCATTTTAAACAATTAATCAAATTTGTAAATTTATTAAGAGAAATGAATAAATATTTTGATACTTTAATATTACCTAAAAAATGACATAGTCCGTGCATTGCACGGGTGGAAAACTAATATACATAAAAATGGACAAAATAAGATCCTATAACGTGGTATGTAACGTACACTGTTCAATACAATCGAGTTTAATGCATCAAACATGCACCAACGCGCTTTAGGATATATTTAAGCAGTTTCCATTGTGGAGACCGAGATTACGCAACCATAAAGGAAATGGTGTAGACCAATTTGCAACCCAAAAATAGATTGGGGACTAATCATGCAATTTCCCTTAAAGATAACTTGCGCATGCATGACAGCAATCAAGCCATTTGCCTATACTACTCACTTGGCCTTGTTCAAAAACAAACCAGAACCAAAATCATAAAATGAACAAACAGGAAATGCTAAACACATAAAGTTGAACACTTATCTTCTAAAAGCCTGTTATCAATAATTAATACTTAATGAAATACAAGTAATAGACGCAAACAAGATTGTCGTACTGATCTCCGATGCAAACAAGAATACGGTCCTCAAAAAATCTCTGCGCAAAAAAAAAAAAAAAAAAATGTCCAAGCTTTTAGAAGCTAAAAAGCTTGGACGAGGGTTCCGATACTATCTATTAAATTAGAATCTTAACTATTAGTAAAAATTCTACTTGGTGGAACCACTGGCTAATCAGGTGGATGGGTTAAGCTCGTCCCAAGCTTCAATCCAAGTCACCATTGCATCTGCAAGCTTCTTGAAGTAATCATCCACCTTCCCAAGCTTCGCCTTGACTTGTTTGGCAAGTTCAAGATAACATGTTTGAACGGTGGTGCTGCCTTTTGAAAGGGTTACGGACTGGAAAAAGGGTATTAGCTCCTCTTGCCAGTAGATACCCTTGTATTCTTTCTTAAGATTCACGAACGGATTGCTAGCTTTGCTGTGCCAGATGTAAGGAAGGCCCGTCTTGATTCCTAATCCCAAGTGGTCACAGATCACCTAGGCAACGGGAAAGACAAAAAGTAGAGAATTGTTAAGAAACAAGATAAGCCAAAACAAATAGGACATCTTAGGTACGGGTACCTATAAACTCGAGATATGAAATTGTGTTCAAGCTCATGCATAGCATAATAAAGCAAACTGATGAGAAAATGTTAGTAACCAGTTCAAAATCATGGATCCCAATAAAGAGCGAAGCATGAAGAAAACGTGTGCAGCTTCTACATGAATTTGTACACAAGAATTTGTGCCATTTGAATGTAAGAACACGGCATCTTTGTAAATAAAAATACCTTGGTGCACCAGCCAGCCCACATGTCATCGTAGCGTCCAATTGGCTGGCCATCACCCATGAGTCCAAAGTACATAGCCGGGCCAATCAATTCACGGTTGAAACCCAGATTCATGCCACACATTGGGAACAGGGTTCCTTTTGGTATCGTCATTACTGCGTCCACATACCTGAATAGGAAAACATATAATATTAGTATCTAATAGTCTCCAAGGATCTACGTGAACCAATGACTAGCAAAACGGATTTCAATTTCACACCTAGTGTTCCTTTCACGAGGCTTCACAAGCTGTGTTGGTGCATCATAATCAGGGATGTTAAGCCAAAGTCCATGTGACACTGCAGTTGGTACACCTTCACGAAGACTGAATGGGTATCCACGGACAAAATCTGCACCATCTCGGTAGGGATCATAAAGAGTGTTGAAGAAGGACGGTGTTGATGGGCTTAAAAGGTTCTTGATGTGCTGCTCAAGTGCATTAATTTCCTTGCCGGTTGGATCTTTAGCAACCTGTGTATCAATAAATGCATAAATGAAAAATTCAAAACATCTCTGGCCCCCCATCTTAAAACTCGGTAGGTAGAACATAAAGCACCAGAATGGTAAAAATACTTATTGTGTGTGAATGTGTTTTTTTTTTTTTTTTTTTTTTCTTTTTTGGAAGGTGGGGTGGGGTTGGCTATTTAATCTTAAGAGACTTATTTTTTTGGGATGCCAAAATTCAAGAAAATCAATCTTAATCGTGCATTTTAAAGATCGAAACAACCACATCCTAGCAGCTGAGCATCAAAAGAAGAACACAATTCTCAGAATGCAAAACATCGCCGGTCCCCCATCTTAAAACTAGGTAGGTAGAACATAAAGCACTGAAGGATACAAGTAATTCGAGGTGGGGGGATCTCATAAAAAATTTTCTATCATAGATCCATTATGCATATATAAACCTATTTTCACGTGCTACGAAAATTTAATCTTTATCATGCATGTCAAGATCAAAACAACCAAGGCGGTGAGCATAAAAAATTCACATAATTCGCTCCACCTTTAGCAGAATTGACCCATATTAGAGCTACTGCATAATGATTCATCATTTTACGGATCAAAATCTAATCTTTTAACCCAACGTTCAAAAAAAATAAAAATAAATAAATAAATAAAATAATAATAATAAAATAACCACGGCGGAGCATTAAAAATTCACATAATTTCATATTCCATTAGCTGAATTGAGCCATATCTGGAGCTAATGCTTAATGATTCATTGACTTTAGCCAAAGATCAAAATCTAATCTTTCAACTAATACTTAAAAAACTGAAGATTATGATAAAAGAACAGACCCATCGTTGCAAAACCAAAATCATTCAAAAAATATCATATCAATCCACACCATATAGATCAAAATCCAATCTTCTACACACACAAAACAAAATCCAGTGTTAGATACTTAAATTAAACAGATCAAGACCCAATCTTAAGACCCAAAAAAACAAATCTAAAAATGTAAAAACTGGGTTTTGGATCTTACAAAGCAATCATCATCAATGGTGAAGATATACTTCTTCTTCGACACCATGTAGCCAAAGCATCGGCATGCTGAATCCTTAAACGAAATACACGAAGCCTTAGGACCCAGAATCTTGTTTATATCATTTCGATTGTAAAGTTCATAATCAAAACCCTCTGGGACATTAATTTTTTTTGATGGATCTCCATCTTGAACAATGATCAAATGGTATGGCTGGAAAAAGGGTCTCCACATTTCGAGGAAATCCAAGTTTCTGATGGTCGGAATCACTATATCCAGCTCATCTTTCAGCAATGGTGTCGAAGGCTCAATTGCTGCCATTGCTTGGATTTCAACAACAACGAGAATGAGAAGGGGAATTGAGATCTGAGTGTGTTAGGGCAGAGGTATGAAAGAGGAGATTTTATAACTGAAGAGGGGTTTTCACTGGGACGGCACGTGATAGAATAGTTGGATGAAGAATTCAAACGTTTCAATTGAAAATAATAATAATAATAATAATAATAATAAATGAAATAAAATTGAGTTGATTTTTGATGTAGCAGCCTAATTAGTTAGGCATTTTGACTAATGCTTGATTGGTTTGAATTAAAATATGATTTTAGTTTAAGTCAAAATCAAACAATCAATATTAATCACATATTTTATAGGTTCCACAATTTTTTAACCACAAATTTCAAAAATTTCTGTTATAATTTACTTAAAAATCTAATTTTAATCCCCATCAAACACAATCTAGACCACATTGGGTCAATGCTTGTCGACCTATTTGTCTTTATCGAGATAGAATTAGGAATAGTAACCACTTGTTGGCTCAACCATTGGTTCATCATTACCTTGTAATCTCATTGAATCGAGTTGAGATTTCAATTAAGCGAGACGAATTGAGCCAAACTTAGGATCCTGAGCACATGGAGTTCACAGGCAAGCTTTTAAGGTCGAATTTTCTTTTATAAATAGAAGAAAATTCGAAAAGAAAACGTGTTTAATAATTGATAATAAAATAAAATAAAAAATTGAAGAGCACTGGATTAGTCGAGCTCGCTAATGTGTTGAATCAAGACTTGGTGGTCGTGGGCAAGCCGATTGACATTGCTATGTAGGATTATTTCAATTTATTGTTATGAAACCATTTTGATTTATTCAAATCGAACTTAAGTAAATTCTGAGTGTATTTTGTATTCATGTTTGTAATTTATTGAAGTTCACTTAAAGAGATCAAAATGGTAATTTTTAGTCGAACTAACTTTGATTTGTTTATATGTGATTCAAGTGGGTTCGAGTATTTGAAGAGAACTTTTCATTTTAGAAATTTGAAGTTGAATTTAAATGTCATACAAATTATACAATTTAGTGAATAGTGTTGGCAGACAATATAATTTATAACCGAGTTAGTAATTAATTGGAGCAAAAATTATTATTAATAGCTATTTGAAAAAAAAAATGATACAATAATAAACAAAGTTCTAAAATACTTTACAATGAAATAATCTAAAAGCCTATTCAATTTTTTTTCTCTCAAATAACTAATCTTTTTAATCAAATATTTATCTTGACTTGTAGAATTACTACTAATAAAATATTTTATTAATATTACGTTCTTTCATTTAAATAGGTTTCATGGCTCAAATCATTTTAAAACAAATCTAGTTGGAGACATTTTTCCTCTTGCATAACAAAAGAACTTCTGAGTTACTCGCATTTTTTCGTAAGTGTTGAATTTTGAATTTGAGAGAGATTGCTTTTGCTAAGGTGTAGTCAAATCTATCCTCCAAGTGAGTAGAATCAACAAAATGTTATAATGCTTGACCTTTGAAGAGAGGAAAAATGAGAATATTATGTTTTGGACAGTATTTAAAAATAGTTTAATTTACATATAGATAGAAATGGATGGTCGATAAATGAATAGTACTTGTAGTTCCCTTGAAATTAGTGGATAAAAATGACGTGTCTTATAATAATATTTTAAAATGAGCTAGGTTATATATATATATATATATATATATATCCTTTTTCTTTTTTTCTTTTTTTGAGTTTAATTGCAAGAATTCTTAAAACAATAGTTTGTTGGGCACGCATCATCTTAATATCACTTGTGCGTTTAACTAACGTTCTACCTAATTATTGTTACTCTTCAATTTATTGGACATTCAAGAATTGTTGAAATTATAGGCAGCGAAGTAGGATTTGACCTAAATTCATAATCATACGTTGTTCTTGTGCCAAGTCAAAGAGATTGACTAAGGAGCCATGTGTGAAGTTGAATCAATCAACTACACCAGTAGACGAACCATCTCGAAATATCTATTATCCTGAAGTATAAGTTTCTCCTTCAAACAATCCGAAAGAATTATCGTAACTGTACTATAGAAATTTAAATTCGAGCCTACCAATTTCACGATATTTCTTTAAAACGAATTTGCAGCCTTTAACGGTGCTAAATGTGTCTAACAATCGTTTCCCAAAATAGAACGAATTTCGTCTCCTACGGAAGCAGCACAACAATCTGCATAAGTTCCAACGAACGCAACGAAATGTTTTTACTTTGAAAACAATATCAGAACGAGAGGGATAATAAGATTCAAAGCAGAGAAAATTTGCAATGAAAATAGTGTAATTTTTCTAGCAGCGGGGCAGGCTATTTATAGACTTGTTCGTGGTCATTCGAACACCCTCCAGAACAATCGTCACTATTCAGACAACCTCCAAAACTCCAACAGACATATTAGTTCAATACTGCATCTGTTAAGTTGGTTAACGATCGACGGTTAACAGTCTACTGTTTGGTCGGTTAACAGTCGTCTGTTAAACATACCATCCAAAAAATTACCCAGAAAAAGCCAATGAAAAAATAAATTTTATTAAGTACCCAAGAACTTGTTTGTATACAATTTGGTCCAAAAATTCAAATAAATTTTATCCAAAAAATTAATTTAGTATAAGGGCGTACCCGTACCGAACTGGACTCGGACACGGGCACGGGCACGTTCCGTGCCGCGCCTAGCCGAGCTGGCCAGTCGGTCGAACGAACGACGACGAGCGCGTGTGGGCTTATGACCGAACCCGATAGGATATAGGTTTATCCTCTTCCTAAGACTATTGGTACCCCTTGGGGCCCAAACTCAATTCCCAAACTTACACCATATAAACCACACCAAAGTTTCGTAACTTTCCTATGTGGGATAAGTGTTTGGGCAAATCAAATTCTTCACTAATTCATAGTTTCAAGTGGGTTACTTTGACATTAAATATTTCATTCAATTCTAAATGATTTTCGATAAATAAATATACTACGTTCATCACCTTGTGAAGTAGAGCGTGAATATGCTAGATTCCGTATTAATTAAGATGTGGGTCCCACTGAAATTTGGGTCCAAAGTTGACTCATTTCACACCATTTTCTAACAATTCCCCGCATGAATGAAATATGTTGGCATTTTCCAAACAACAACATCTGATATGTTTTTCTAAAGAAAATTGAAGAAAACTGCATCAAGATAAGTACTCAAAGACTTTGAACTTTCTCTAGTAAAATCTATCGGATTTATTTAGACAATCAGTAGCAAGTTGCTTTGAACAGTCAGTCATTCATGTAAACCTAGACAATAGAAGTCACACGGTTCTCTTCGAACATAGTTGGTTCTCGCGTTTGTGTCCATTTTGGCCTTGGACACCTCCTGGTTTGTGAGTATTTTTTAGAGAATTCATCTTCATCTAATTCTCTTAAAAGCGGCCCCTTTTCACACACATAGGTGATTTCCATAAAGAGTATTCTACTATACTCCACTTTAACGAATCAAGATATGGAAATCATTAAAAGCATAACTTAACCTATTTCGCGGCAGTTAGGCACTGGCTCATCATAGGAATGGGTAGGAGTGATAATCTCCCCAGTGCTTACTAAGTTTTTCACAGTTCGGTTGTCCCATTAAACCTAGATCTTATGATCTCCGGTCAAGTAGGTTGGGTTGCCACCATGAAAACTTTTGATTATTTTATCGATTTTAATCTCATTCCCTTCGATGAACTTTCAACTTGCTCTCTTGTTAAACTTTTAGTTAGCGGATCCGCAATATTCTCTTTTGATTTCACATAATCTATAGTGATAATGCCAGTAGAGAGCAATTGTTGAACGGTATTGTGTCTACGACGTATATGTTGAGATTTACCGTTATACATAGCATTCTGTGCCCTACCAATTGCTGATTGACTATCGCAATGGATACATATAGCAGGCACATGTTTTATCCAACATGGAATATCTTCTAGGAAGTTTCGTAGCCATTCGGCTTCTTCTCTAGCTTTATCTAACGCGATAAATTCAGATTCCATCATTGATCTAGCTATACATGTTTGTTTTGAAGATTTCCATGATACTGCAGCACCTCCAAGTGTAAAGACATATCCACTTGTTGACTTGGAGTCTTTAGTATCTGATATCCAATTTACATCACAGTATCCTTCAAGTATTGCTGGATGTCTTGAATAGTTCAATCCAAAGTTTTTGGTATGTTTTAAATACCATAGACCCCTAATAATGGCCTTCCAGTGATCAGCAGATTGCTTGTATATCGACTTAGCCTACTAATTGAATTAGCAATATCATGTCGAGTACAGTTCATGATATACATTAAACTACCAATAATTCGAGAGTATTCCAATTTAAGACTTACAGTTACCAGTATTGGAAACAAGATGCATACTAGCATCCATAGGTGTTTTCATAGGAAGAAATCTTATTTCTTAAATTTATCAAGAATCTTTTCAATGTAGTATGATTGAGACAATATGATACCATTGGATGTTCTAGAGATTTTAATTCCTAATATAACATTGACCTCACCTAAATCCTTCATTTCAAATTTGTTTGTTAGCATCCTTTTAGTAGCTTGAATTATGGTATCATTGTTACCCATAATCAACATGTTATCTACATATAAACATATCATGACATATCTATTTTGAGTGTTCTTGACATAAAAACATTTGTCACACTCGTTAATTTTAAACCATTTGACATCATAACTGTGTCAAATTTTTCATGCCATTTTTTAGGAGCTTGCTTTAATCCATAAAGTTATTTAACAAGTTGACACACTTTCTTTTCTTACCCTGGGGCGACAAATCCTTCAAGTTGCTCCATATAAATTTCTTCATCTAACTCTCCATTCAAGAAAGCTGTTTTAACATCTATTTGATATATATATCCAAACCTTTCAACGCTGCTATCGCAATAAGCATACGTATGGAAGTGATTCTTGTCACAGGAGAATAGGTATCGAAATAATCAAGACCTTCTTTTTGCTTATAGCCTTTAGTGATAAGTCTAGCCTTATATTTATCAATTGATCCATCTGCTTTCATTTTCCTTTTGAAAATTCATTTACATCCCAATGACTTATTACCGGGAGGAAGGTCTACTAAT